ACGTGAAGAATATGGCAGCCTTTATGAGGGATTCGGACGGTGCCAAGGGCAAGCTGAGCTGAGTAGTTTCTGGGGTGCCTTCCGCAAGGCGGATTTCGCTGAGCTGGATTGGTAAGGCGGAAAAAGGTGCTTAAAAAAAAAACCCTAAAAACCCTAAACCCTGAACCCTAAACCCTAAACCTCTCAGAAGAACACAATCGGAGATTGATGCAAGCTGGTTCTCAGCCACTCCCTCATCGCCCAACTACAGTAAGCGCAGATTTCATGTAATTTAGGTTACCATAATAAGGAAGCCATCTTATTCACTATAGATCCCTATTATGGTAACTTAAAAATTAAATCCCTTATTAACAAGAACCCAGGATCTGACTCCTGATTCTTTGGTTACTGGGCTTAGGGCTATGGGATTTAGGGCCTCAGGGGCAGTGGGGCATAAGGTTCAGTGAGCTTCGGGTTTATACTTCACGTTCAAGGTTTCTCGGACGTGTTCTTCAGATTTCTCGGAGCCGCTGAGAACCTCGGCTTTCCAAAGTCGTACCCCGGCCCTTCTCATCCAGAAAGTTCATGTAGATCCTCCATTCATCGCAGTGTTCTTCAATCCGGGTCCTGATTCTGAGACCCTTCAACTTCAGGCGAGGGTGTTTGTTAGCAGGGGGTCCACATCAAATCATATACACTCTTGGAGAGTCTGCTTCAGTTACCCTAAGCCAAGCCAAGCCGAAGCCCTCGTATGCTTGAAAAGCCCGGAGGATGGAGGGACATTCCTCCAGATGTGAGTGCCCTGGCGTTTAGGGTTTAGAGTTCAGGGTTTAGGGTTTAGGGTTCAACTAAGAACGGTTTTAGGGCCAGCGAGGTGTGGAAGAGTCCTCTGCGTACACGTCAAACCCACGATTCAGGTTCTTCAGGCGTGTCGCTGGATTCGATGGAATGAGGCAATCCCTGAACCCTCCAACCCTGCACCACAATTCGAAGAATTTCAAAGGAGCTCTCCACAGAGCCCAATAAAATTTGAAATGACAAAGGGGGGTATACATATATATTTATATATATTTATGTATTTATTTAATTATGAGAAATATACATCTTGCGTGGTCAAGCATTGTTCTGCCCTTAAAGGTCAAAAGGAACTCTACGAGGTGCTCAGGGTTTTAGACTGGCTTTGGAAGCCCCCATGCTCTAATGTCACGTCGCCTGAAGCATCTGCACGTGCGCACCAGCTGAATCAAACCGAAGCGTGCAAAACCTTCGAGCTTCCCCTCCGTCTAAAAGCCATGAACAGTACTTGGATGAAATTGGTCACGCTTGCACATGCATGCATACATGCACACACGTGTGACAAACAAACAGACAGACACACACAGAGACACACAGAGACACACAGAGACACACAGAGACACACAGACACACACAGACACACACAGACACACACAGACACACACACACACACTCACACACATAGATAGAGTCTGTATGTACATACTGTATACAAACATACACATATGTAAACGAGAATGCTCAATGTCTCAAACCACAAACATCCGCGGCTCAAAGACGGCTTCGATGTGCCGACCCGAACAAAGCCCACCTGCGTCCTCACCCCGACCGCAAGCATCGGGTTTAGGGGATTACATAAGGGAAGGGGTTGTGGGGTTTCGGGGTGTAGGGCTTTAGCGTTTAGGGGTTTGCGGCTTTAGGGCCGCATGGTTTAGGGATTCAAGGATTTAGAGTTATGGCTTTAGGGCTCTAGTAGCCCACGGGAACCCTCATAGTACACTCTAAAACCTGCATCACATGGTTAAGGCCCCATTCCTTCTCCTAAGCCCCAAGGCTGTTCCCAAACATCCTTGAAGCCCAAACCCCCCAAAATCTAAATCACTAGACGTCTCGAACCCTAAACTTCCCCCTAAACCCCTCAATTCCCTCAAGGAAATCTCCCCCAAACCCCAAGCCCCTAGAGCCTCAAGCTTCTCAAAACCCAAAGCCACGGTAGGTCCCTCATCCCAAAGGCTGCCAGCAGACCTCTACCCTAGGATTCAGGGTGTAGGAGTTTAGAGTTTAGGGCTTAGGGCCTAAACCCTAAACCCTAAACTTAAACCCTACACCCTGAACCCTAAACCCTAAACCATAAAGAGTCAACTCCCAGTCTCTTTCCGAGGTTCTGCGCTGAATCGCGCCGAGGCCGATGGCGTGCGGCAGCTGGAGAGTCAGATCGGCGAGTACACGCAGCCGGGCTCAGGGGCTGTAGGGGTTTTAGGGCTTAGGGGCTTCGTGTCTTGAGGGGTTTTAGGGCTTCGGGGCTTCAGGGGTTTTAGGGCTTAGGGGCTTTAGGGGTTTTAGGGTTACTTGAGGGGTTCAGGGGCTTCAGGGGGTTTGGGTTTAGGGGCTTTAGCGGTTTTAGGTGCTTTAAGGGTTGTCCCACAAGGCTATAACAGGGTTTTGAAAAGCGGTCCCTTGGCTTTGGAGGTTTCGGGGCTAGAGGTTTGGGGGTTTAGGGTTTAGGGCGGAAAGAGTGAAGGGTTTCAAGTTCAGGGTGGGGTTAGAATCGGTACCTTAGTTGGGGTTCAAAGTAGATGCCGCTATTTCGATTTCGGGGCTTGGGGTCCAGGTCGGACCCAGCCTGTACAGCATGCAGTAATTAAGAAGAAGCAAGCAAGAAATCCGTGCATGGAACGTTGCCAAGCACCTTGCGACCGTCAGCAGAGGCCGTAAATGGTGCAGCTTTGCCGAGGGCAGCTAGGCCAGGGCAAGGAAGGTCAGGAGCAACGAGCACACACGGAAGACCTTGAGCCCAGAGGCGGAGGGAACCTCTCACAAGGTCAGACAGGAGGCGGAGACTGCGAAGTCTTGGTTCAACATCCCTGTACGATCGGAAGGGACCAAGCAAAGTCAGTGACGTGAGCAGCCCTATACAAGAGAAGAGCGTAACAGAATTAGCAACACCCTGCTCTGGCCACCTGTCAACATTTAGACTCTCTGGCGAGTCTGTGGCATCTCTATGCGAGAGAAAGGTCCCAAATCCAGGATCCTTTTCCGCAATGACCTGTCCAACCTGGCCACTCGTGGCCGGCAGGGTAAAACGGACATGATCGTAGAGCAGCCATGGCAGCTGTGTACTGGCATCCTTGAAGGTTGAAACCGCAAACCTAGGGGAGATCGGATCAGGGACAAGCCAGTCAGCCCACGAGACCCTCTGGATCAAGTCAGTGGCACTAGTGTGCCATCCACTCCATCTGACTGACCATTCCTCATCAACAGTGAGTGTCTCGTGTAGCTTTTTCTGCCACTCCTGAGCAGTCGCCCGAAGCCTAGACAGCTGGAGGCAGCAACAGCTGAAAGCCTTCCGGTAGGCTTCAAGCAGGGCCTGGTAAGTTTGGCACACACCACAGTCATTACAGAAGCAGTCCTCAAGGGCAGCCAGGACCTCGGGAGACAGCCTGTGTTCTTCGAATGGCAACTGGTCTTGTCGCCACTGCTGGACCGGACCCTGTGCTTGGACAGCAGGCAGTTGTGATTTAGATCCATCAACGAACTTACGACTGCCTACACCAGGCACCGGAGCAACAGCGGTACCAGCACCAAGAAGAGCTGACTTACACGCAGCTGAGTATCGCAAGTGGTTACAGAGCTTTTCCGTGCTGCGGTAGTGTCGCAAGCACACAGGACATTGCTGTCCTGTGACAAGGAGTCGCTCCTCTCGTACACGACCATGGACTTTGAAGGCATGGTGAGACCATGCACGTTTGTCCGAGAAGACCTGCCCACATAATGCGCAGATCTCGGGCTCAATGACATCCGCAACGACATCATCAAGATAGGCACCGGCAAGCCTGAGGTGGCGAAAGAGCAGGCCGTGATACTGTTGAACCTCAAGTCCATAGAGACTCAAGCCCTGCAGCGATCTTGGTCTGCTTGACAAGACTTTTCCATCTTCCAGCATCGTGCCGGGCAATGGCAGCCGCAGTATCCCAGTCTGAGAGGTCAGGCCCTTTCAGACTAGCTCGAGTCCTGAGCTCACCTGCCCAGGTAAGAGCTTGCTGTGCCTGGTGTAGCCACGATTGCTCTGCATGCAGGAGGGCCCAGAATTCCGCGCAACCTTTAGAGACAACCAGCCTAAGATGTCTAAGGCGCTCAAGGGCAATGGTAATCTCCGCAGGCATTATCCGGGCACAGGCAAGGGCGTAGAGTCCACTCAGGTGTCGGGCCTGGGTGTAGGAGAAGCGAGGGCGTAACATGAGGCGCGCCATCCCAATCAGAGCTCCCCGAAACTTCCCAGTGGCAGCTTCATCATGCGCTGGCCATGCTCCAACACCATAAAAAAGGGTGGATTCAACAACAGAGGAGAAGAGGACCGCCTTGTCCCTAGCCTGGACGAGTGGGGACGAGAAGACCTGGCGCCGGTGCTGCCGGAATGCCGCCCACGCCGCCCCTATTCTGGAACGCACTTCCTTAGCGGTTCCTCCGCCAGCCTGGACAAGCCCTCCAACATGCTTATATGTGGAGACGAGTCGTAGCCTGGCATCAGGCCAGATGTCGGAATGCAACGAAAGATCCGGAGAGCTGCCACGGAAAACCTGAGCAGCGATCTTCTTAGACCCAGGACCACAAAGGGCTAAGACGCACTCAGTTTTGCCTTCCGTAAGGTTCGGCACCAGTGTGGCTTTCATGCACTCGTCCAAAGTGGCCGTAGCAACTGCAACTACTTTATCGAGTAGCTTATCTGGATGTGGGTCCTCAACCAATAACGCCAAATCATCCATCCAGGTTACGTCAATAGGCCTGGCAACGTCTGCAGGGCCTGATGCAGCAGGCGCTTCCGGGCCGGCCCTGAGCCATGCATCGTTCCAAGGGAGTGCACTCGAGAGGCCGGCCTCAGAAAACCGTTTTCGAAGAACCGCCAACAACTCGGCGAAAAGGAAGGAAAAGATGAGGTCAGCAAGATTGTCTCCCGGACGCGTACCAGCCTTCACGATGGCCGTTCCCTCAAGAGCTCCATGAGAGAACCAGGTGTCACAGTTGCTCTCTTCGACCATGGAGGAGAGAACTGTAGGGCCTCCAGCAGCTCTGATGAGTGATTGCTCACGAACGTAGGCCTGGAGTCGAGGCCCCACGGCCGCGTCAAGTCCAAGCGTGGCAATAACGTTTTGGATGGAGGTTTCATCAGGCCTGCCGCCATGGACGAGGGCACGTGCAACGCGGTGGAAAGCTTCTTTTAAATCTAGGAAGATGATTGCACAGCTGACCTTTTTTGTTCGGCATCGTTCCTGCCATAGCCTAGCGGCCTGCAGAACGAATTGGACGGGGAAACCGGCTCGTCCGCCAACTTGTAGCGGCATAGCAGCATTCTCGAAGTGTCTGCCGCACTGCGTCCTAAGAGCCCCGTGTACAGCTTTGCCAACTGAACTGCTCACCAGGATGGCTCTATAACTTTCACAGTCTAAGGGCGATCCTTTTCTCTTCCACACCGCATGTAGGTCGCCACCTTTCCATTGTACAGGTTCTTGGAGACGCATGGCAAACTTAAGGACAATAGGGTACAAAGAACGTGAAAGTCCAGAGGGGCAGGCCCTAAGGAGGTCAGCGGGAACACGATCTTTGCCTGCTGCCTTCCCCGGAGTTGAAGCCCGTAACCCATCTTCTATCTGAGCCCGGGTGAGGATTTCTTCAGCCCCGATGTCATAGTCTGCAAGGTCCCACTCCTGCTGGCGAGCAAAGCAAGAGGCAACTATGCTTTCCGGGGTCTCTGGTGCTCCAGCTTCGATGGAGCTGAAGTGTCGAATCCACCTGGCTTCTGCTGCCTCAAGGTCAGTCGCAATATTACCATCCTCAAGTTTGACAGCAGGGATGGCTCGACTGCCCTTGACCTTCCTTTTGGGTGGGCCAATGAGAGTCCTCAATTTCCGGAAAGTGTCCTTAGAGGAGCAAGTGGCAGCTGCTCTCGCAGCCTCCTGTGTGAAGCTGCGTTTATCTCCTTGGATGGATCGCCTGAGCAAGGGCTTAAGACTACGCAAGTCCCCAACACTACGACGAAGGTCGGCGACACTGCGAAGTAGGTCAGCAAACGAGAGCAGACCAGCCCAGCTCATGGGGCCAGCACAGCTCCAAGCAACCCAGGCAACGCGGACCTCGTAATTGGCAATCCAGGCAGAGGCACGATGAGCGAGTTTGCGGAGACTGACCCGTTGCTGGCGGAAGGACCAAGTACCATCGGAGAAAAAAGACTTGCGCCTGGAAGCTTGGTTAGCCGGGAAAGCCAGGGCAAGATGCTCGACAAGATGCCTGGAGAAGAGTTCGTAGTGGGTGTGTGCATCAACATCCCACGGAACAGCAGGAACAGTCTTGCAGATGGCCTGCACAACGTTAGCATTCTCAGGTGCCTGTAGGCGGCTGACATCGATGCGGGGCGGTCGGCGCCCCTTGTGGCAGGAGGCATCTAGAATAGCTGAGACTTCAAGGTACACTGCGAAGTGGTCAAGACCGGCTTGTCCGAAGTCAACCTCATATAGGACTCGGGAGGACCCATGGTCAACATTCCAAGTCGTAGGGACAAGTATGAAATCAATGCGAGAAAGAGTCCCTTGTCCAGGCGAAACCCAGGTGTGTGAAAGGCCACGATGACAAGCTGTGAAGGTAGACGGAGCCCATAGCCCGTGGTTCAGCAGCATCTTGAAGAAGGGCGCTGGCGGACTGGCACCCTCCTCCCAGCAGAGGTCACCTATTCTGTCTGCCCAAGGCTCAGACAGCCTAAGGTTCAGGTCTCCAAGGACTACAACCGGGAGATCCCCAGCATAGCCGCGGAGGTCGTCAACAAACTTTCGCCACCAGGAATCCCTTGAAGGGTCAAGCGCAGTGGGGGCATGACAAACCGCAACAATGAATCGCAGACCTCCACGCATACACTTGGCAAACAGATGTCTGGGCGACCAGCTCAAGACCCTGAAATCCTCAAGGGAGAAATGGAGTGGCCGGCCGTCCTGGTAAGCAAAGGGTATTGTGCGGGATACCCAAAGCTCAACACCTAAGCAACCCTTATGATTGGCAGCAGAGGTGAAACGGAAGTGGGTCTCAGAAACAACGGTTTCAGTGGCCTTAGCACGAGTTTCCTGGAGCCCGGTCAACCCAACCCCTGTCCACTCAAGTTGCTCCCTTATGTAAGGTACTCGCCCAACAAGGCCTTTAGCAACATCCTCCTCAAGCGTCTGAACATTGGAGGAAGCGAAGCTAAGGGCCAGGGTCAACTTCACTCGAGAGCCAGCAGTTGTCGCGGGGGAGAATGGCCGAAGGCCAAGGGCTGTCCGGGGGTCAAGCTGAAGAGTCCCGGATGCACGGGAAGTATCTATGAGGGCCCTGCCTTGTAGAGCTGGCCAATGACAGGGGTTCCTAGTGGCTTCACATAACAGCCACATCCATTCTATGGATCCATCATGAACCCAGGCAGGGAGGCTGCAGTAGGGAGCAGGGATGTGCGTGTCGATGATCCAGTCCTTTCGCTAAGAACATCAACGAGCTCGTTAAATAGGTCCCCCCTATGGGCGCGGACATGTCGGAATGCTGAAAAGCAAACATCGCGGGAAGCCTCAACCGCATGGGCCAAGGCTCTGCATGATTTTGCGAGTAGAGAGGAAGCGGATCCTCCCCAGTGCCCGCTAGTCTGCCCAATGACAGCAAGCGAGTCTGTCCAGACCCGGGTGCGACCATCGGCATGTGCAAGGGCCCAAGCCGATCTCTCAGCCTCGAGCGCGGAGTGGTGCTGCGCACCAATGAAAGCCGGTTCACCTTCGAGTGCAACTGCGCCGCGACACCAACCACGCAGTGTTCTGGATGAAGGGCCCAGGTCAATGACTGCAAACGCCCAGGCACTGAGGCTACCATGAAAGGATCCATCAGTGTAGATTTCAACACTGACAGCATCTTCAACACCAAGGCTGCTTTCAGCGGCAAGAGCATGGGTGGTGTCCGAGTGCAGGTGTAGTCCTGCAGGAATGGCGGTTGGCAGGGGCCAACTCCCTCCAAGGAATGGAGCAACATCATCAAATGTCTTGCCAATACAAAGTGAAACCTGGCTTAAGTCATACTGGACCCATCGTGGAAGGTAATCTGCAAGTGCAACAGGGACCGGACCTGCAGCTGCATCCGGCACAAAATGCTCAACGAGAGTTTCAATCAGTGTGCTGGCTAAGAAGAAGGCATTACCCGAGACTACCTCATCAGATTGCTTAAGTAGGGTTCGGAGGCCCTGAGATTTCTCCTCCCCAGGACTACAAATGCCTTCCTCACGCCGAACTAGGCCTGGGGCGCGAAGGCTGCGGCAGGGGGTAGGGATTACTCTATGGGCCCAATGTGCAGGCCATGCTACAGGAGGATGGGCCTGCGCGCATGTCGAGTCGGGGGCCTGTTCGGCAGCAGGCTGGGCACTGTCAGAAACGTGCGCGGCCTGTGCACCACTACAGACAAAGACAGCAAAACAGGAAAGCCAAAGGAGTCTCGGGACCTGGAGTTGGTGGCCGACAGTAGCAGTAGCACACCCGCTGATGAAGGTGCCGCAGAAAACAGCTGCACTGAGGAGACATCCTCCCCCGTATCCAATGAGGGCACAGATGAAGAAAGGCAGTCGCAGATTGTCAGGGGTGAGGCAAAAGTTGTCATCAAAAAGACGTCGCGAAAAGATACAGTTGCTCCACATGACAGTGCTGGCGAAGACGCCATCAGCAGAAGTGCGGTTCCCATGACCAGGAGAGGAAGAGGAACCGCTTGCACCCCATTGGACCTCTGTGGGTCCGCATGTCTCACTTGGGTACGGTGGATCTGGCCACCCTGAGGTGGACCTCCAAGGCTCTTCATCCTCACCTCCCCAACCAGGAGGTCCCGAGGGCTCATCTGGAGGGCCTTGTTCAAAATCCGCTCTGTCGAAGTTGTCGCTTCTAAAGGCGAGAGTGACTACTTCACCTTCTTGTATCAGGAAAGGCTCCTGTAGCCTGCAAAAGGAGGCCCCATTGACAATTCGACCAAGACAGTAACCTCGCGGGCATCTGCCAGAGAATCTGGAGACAAGTTGGTCAGGCAGGAAGATGCCCTCAGGGCATAGAAGCCAATCGAACCCAAGGAGGATAGGCCTGAGGTCAATTATGCAAACAATATCTCTAGGCCGTCTTGCACCACGCGCAGAGACAAGAGAACGTGCTACTACAACATTGCGAAGAAGGACACCGAGTTCGGCAAAGTCAGCGATACCTCCAAAGGCAGGCGAAAGGCCAAGGTCTCCATTTCTGATACCAAGGCGCGCAGCGATCTCTTGCCTTACCCGGTGCTGTCTATGTACAGGGATCTGAAGAGCACAAGGGCCGTTTGGCCCCAAAACCCAAGCAATATCAGAGCGGTTTTCTGCTAGCGGTGGGCAAGGCGTCCACCCCCGACTTGATTGCAGTCTGTCCTCAAGACTGTGGACAATGTGAACACCTACATTGGCAGGCCTGATAACAACAAGATCGCCATCATGGGGACTAACCGGGCTGTTTGCAGGCAGGGGCCATGGTAGGTCTCTAAAGAAGACTTCATGATCAGCTTGGTCGGCGAGGCCAGCAAGCTTGAGAAAGTCATGTCTCTGACAAAATCCTATGACCTCAGCCGCAAAGAGTCTGTCATTTATGGCCCTGCTGTCTACTGCAATGATGGCACCCTGGTGCCTCCAAATATGGGCAGACATACTGTAAGCGCAACATCAGCCCGAGGTTGTGGATGTACAGCACAAAGAACAGGCATGCGGACGGAAGCCTCAGGATGTCGAGCAGAGGCGGCAGCATCGAGTGCGTCAGGGACTGCAATCCCTGTGGGCAATCGTACCGAGACCCATTCATGGACATAGTTCTGGTTGAGCAGCAGGAACGGAACGTCTGCGAAATCAGCCTCTACTTCAAGCCCACCTTGCTCAGGAGGGCTAGAGTCGTTAGCTATGTCATGGGCATCGGCACTGTCGCGACTCGGCTGGGTAGGCCTGTTATCATCTACACGGTTACCAGCTGTCCCTGTGGCAACATCAGCAGTGCCGCCCGGTTCAGCAGGACCACCAGACACAGGTGGGGCAGCCCCGGCTGAGGACTCGACAGCGTCACCGAGATGGGCATTGGCGATGCTGCCGAGCCGGGAAACTGCGCGTTCATAGATTACTTCAACTACAAAAACTTGGCCCGTTCGGATTTCAAGGATATCAGCTTGAAGCGGAACATCCCGAAACCAAAGTCGCCAACCTGACCCTAGCTCTTGTAAGATGTTATCTAAGCAGTCGCGGCAGGAAAATTGGCCACCAGGCGCTTGTATTGCGCGCCACCCAAGGAACAGACCTCGTGCATCGACTAATATCCAGGGAAGCACAGTCTGTGCCTGTGTAATGGCCTCGCTAACTATGACGACTGAACGACATGAAAGGCCGTCAATTGCAGCATTCCAAACTCGCGGTCTGGTTGAAATGACGCGCAATGCATAGCTCCGGATCCCAACGGAGTTTGCTATCTGCGCACGAAATGCGCCACCATGCCCTTGGGAATTGATATGTAATATATTATCTTCGCCAAAAACGACGCAACAGGTCCCATGGCATGAGGGTTCCGGTATCCGTGGCTGTCTTCCCCAGTGTTGTCGCCCAAGGAGAGCAACATGCATAGGAACGATACGAGGATCGGCTGAATCCTCAGGCAAGACAATTATTGTATCGCCATCTGAAATGTGGCAATGGCTGTCCTCCTGGAGGAGATCCCCATATGGCCCGGCAAAAATAGAATACTGGGCTGCCCTTGGGAGCTTGACAAACTCGAGTATGCTGGCCCCTGTGAGATAGGGAGGGGCAAGTGCAGAGTAAATACGACCATCAACGGCAGAGCAGTCGACACAAACTTGGCGTCGAGCAGTTGCGACCGCAACGGACCAGGCTGGGCAGGCTAAGAAAACCCCGTCCCCAACTAAAGGCTGTGGGCTGGCCGGAACTAGTCGGGGGAAGTTTCGAGCCTGAAGCTGGCATCTGGCAACCTGGACAAGTGGCAGAACCTCAGCTACAGTCGTCGGAAAAGTCAGGCTTATCTCAACCTTTTCGGCGGCAAAGCCAGGCACGAGTACACGGAAGCAGACTCGGAGAGGCGGGTCATGCGGTGCGTCGGAATCGGACCCTGATGAGTCTCCATCCTCAATGTGAAAGGCGCCTGCCGGTGTCATGTACCGCCAGGGAAGTCCAAGCCTGGGGGCTACATACCGTAAGTGCGCAATGACCTCTGCCCCAGCACTATCACTATGTCCACCATGAGGTTCAACAAGTATCTTGCAGGCGAGGGTACCAGGGCTGTGACCTGTAACATGTACACCATCTGGACCAAAGAAACCTGAAAAGAGATCGACTATAGCAGACCTGTCAGAGGCGCCATCTACCCCAAACCTGGTGCCAGCATCACCAGAGCTGCGGACTGAACAGAATCTAGCAATGGTGAGGTTGGCTGCATGAGGGCTATCTGCTGGTGCCTCTCTGCCCTTGTTGCCTCGATTGCGAGTCTTATGGTTGCGTGGCGAACGGCTTCTTGCAGCTGGACTTTTCCCGCCAGCAGGCGAGTCGGGGCCACTGCTGTCACTGCTGGAATCAGAGTCAGAATCTGAACTGTCATTGCCACCATCCACATCAGGCTCACCTGTAGAAGGGTGTGCGGCCCTGTGGACATATGAAATGGTGAGGACAGTACGGTCCTCAGCTTGGAGAAAAACTACCCCATGCCTAGTGACTCTGTTGCCGCCAGCGACTTTCAAAACAAAACCAGGAGGAATGTCAAGCTTAAGACCCTGTTTGAAGACCTCGATGTCGACTTCCCCTTGTACAATGATTCGCCAGTCGAGGCCTCGTAGGACCGGTCGCATGTCAAGGAAGACTACAGTCAGGGGTGTTGTAACCCTGGCTGGAGGCACCGGCAGGGTAGGGAGGCATTCAGTAACCAGGACAACGGCTTTGCATAAGACACCCTTAAAGACGGCATCCTGGATCCTAGGCGAGGCAGTCTTAAGAGTTGTACGATATTGCGCAAACTGGAGGGTGTCAGCGGCAAATTCCTGGAACCCGTAGGCACTGGTGATCTTATGGTAGTCAGCATCAATCCCTCTGGAACCTCCCTCATGCAAAACCCAAAAGTGGGAGAATGAAGAGGAAAAGGCCAAAGGCGGTTCTGGCTCCCAGTGTTCCCCTGCAAATAGAAGGTCGTCAAGTTCAAGGACAGGAGGTATGGCTGCTCCATAGCCTATGACCTGAATCATGTCACCTTGTTTTACAGTAATCGGCCTGCCTCGGGCATGTGCCACTCCCCGGATGATCGCAACCATGTCTTCGGCATCAGGCAGGTTGGCATGCAGCAAGAAGGAAGACCACTGGATCCAGGGGTCAAGCAAAAGACAGTAAAGCCTGCCATCAAACGACCTGCTATCAAGGACAACAGCTGTTCTGTGCCGGGCCCAGGAAGGCAGGCATATGAGACATGCAAATTCAGCGCTTGGCTGTGGGTGCACTTTACATAGGTGCCCGTACAAACTGCGGTGTGATTCCTCCCGGGCCGAACATACAGCAGCCAGAGCTTCGTCCCAGCAAAGCGGTGCAGACAAGGAGACAAGAACAGTCTCAGGGGTCCTGTCGGGAGCAAACAACAGAAACCAAATCTTGTCCCTGGGTTCTGATCCCTCAGCAGTGTCGACAGGCAAGTGAGCCGGTTCAAGGGGGCCAGTAGCTATTGCAGCATAAAACCCGAGGCCATCAGAGTTTGCTACATCAGCTTGTGTTATGTTGGGCTGATCAGGCTCAACGGTGTCTTCGAGCCCGCCCGGGGTGTCCCCGGATGGCTCGGGAGTGATTGCTTGGGGGCCTTTGTAAACAGCCCTGAAGCAGACCTCTTGCCAATCCCACTGTATGTTATCGGGAGCCTCGCCTGCCCAGGTTCTCGTATGAAGCGAGGCAGAAAACCCCTCCGGGACCCTTGGGTCAACGCAGCGCAATATGGAGGAAGCATCAGTCCATACTTGCCGCAAGAAAGCACGGATACCTCTGCCGACTCGTCGTGCATCTACAAAGGTGAAGCTAGACTCCTCGGGGCCAGTATCCCTTGGGGCTACAGCAATAATGCCATCAACGCTACAACCCCTGTAAGTATAATCACCGTCGGCAAGTGCACTGGGATCTCTCTGGAAGCAAAGTTGCAATACAGTGCTACCGATCTGTGCTGCAATAGCCGCATGAAGATCTGCAGGGTCCTCACTTTCAGTCCTTAGCAGGCATTCTCCATCCTCTCTGACAATAAGCCACTTGTGCCAGGAGGAACAGACGGGGAGAGGAGGTTCGTTGCGCGTCCAAAGTGACCAAAGGTCGCCATCGGGCAAGCTACGCCAGATGGGTCGGGTGTCCGTAAACTGGGCCTGCACAACCTGAGCAGAGGCAAGCTTATAAGGGGCCCCTGCAGCCCAGCCAACAGGACAGTTCTGTGTATAAACATTAACACGGTGCTTACTGTGCTGCGCAGACAGTGCCTCCACCTCACTGCGGTACACCAATTGCCAAACAATGTCGGCGAAGAAAGCGCCCCCAATGGCAGTCAAGTCGAAAACAACGACAGAGCGCAAGGAAGAAGTGATCCACTGAGGGACAACAACAAGTGTGACAATGCCCCAGAAAGCCTGGTGCGAAACTGGCAAGAGCTCAAAGTCATCTGCAAGAAGTGGCGCAACCCGGTCATGGACCTGTTCAACAATAGAGTCTAAGTCACCTTCCGCGGAAGCCAGTCTTATGAGGACATCTTTACGACCAGGGATAAGCACACAGACTCTAAGCACAGGAGGCTCGAGTACCTCCCCGTATGCTTCAAGGTTTGCTTCAGCTTGGCACCTGGCAACAGCAAGTTGAATAGGTTCATGGGCAGTAGCAATCCTACTGCCTGAAGGGCGTTCGGAGCCCGGGGCTATGTCAGGGCCTACATGGTTGGTGGCAGATTCTGGCAAGCCTTCAGGCCGGAGGGTTGTGACGGCCTCTTGTATCTGCTGCAAGACAGTAGCACTGTCCGATGCACTTCGAACAACGACAGGGAGTGAGCATAGCCCAAGTAGGCTACGGACTAAGGGGCCTCCAGGCGCAAATCCACAAGGCCTGCTGGTACAACCTGGTGGATCCCGTAGGCTTTTAGGCTTACCTTGTCTGAGCCGGGTGGACTGTTCAGAGCACTTAGGGCTGAAGGCAGCAAACGCCAGGAGTGCTTTACAAGGTGCTCCGCCCCATACAGCACGCAACATCCTGCCGAGTGGGGAGTATCTCCCAGGGAGTGCAAGAACAAGCAACCTGAGGAGGGCAAGAAACGGAAGAAAGAGGATGCCCCTGGCAAAGGGCACAGCAAAGGAGGCCAAGAGTAGTAAAACCCAGACCCCATTGGCAGTCTCATCGGGACTGCTATTGCCAGCTGATTCACATGTGTCAATGTTGTGCAGACCCCTGGCCCATGCCCCAGAGCGACCGATGCATGTGTTGCGCGCCCAGGATGGTACTGCACGTGGAAAAATGAAGGCCCAGAAAAGGACGTTATGGGCAAGGGGAAGCAGACCCGACCCAAAGCCCAAGGGTCAAGCAACCTCCGAGAGGAAGAAGGGAAAGAGCAGAGCCGGCCACACTCCCAAGGACAGGGAGGGGCAGGCCCACTCCACCCAGCGAGATCGGCAAAAGGAACTATTCCCCGGATACGTTGACTGTCTCCTGCCCGCAACCCAGAGCCACCGATTTGCGTGTTTGGCGCCAGGAGACAGTAAAAGAATGAGGGGCATATAGGCTGATGAAAAACAGTAGGGCAGTGTATGAGCAATGCTACCGCCCAGAGCACTACTCGCTTCCCTCGAAAGCTGCATAAAAGGAAGGAGCTAACATTTCCCAAAGCTCCAAGTGGAATGTACAATCTACTGTGAGACCAGGAGCAAGCCAAGTTCCTAATGAAGAGGCACTGCGTCTTCAAAGGTCCAGGCACCGCGGGCACAGTCTTGACCGAGGGGCACTGGCAAAAGGGAAGTTCCCAAACACTTCCGGATTGCGGGGCCCTCCAGCCGACTTGTGCACCTCAGGCCTGCCTTTGGTGAAGCATGCCTCTTCTCTCCAAATGTCACTCGAGTCTTCCGAGTCCTGGTGAAGGCGCAGCCACTTCCAGTTCGTCCTGGTCGTCGTCCACGAGTCGCGAGGCTGGAGGGGCTGTGGAATTGCCGCCTGTGGCCGAGGGGGCTGCCGAAGCAGCATCGCCCTCGCCTCCCTTGTGCACCATCTGTCCCCCTTGGTCCAGAACCGGCTTGTCCCCAGCAGGCCTGCCAAACGGGCACATAGCTGATCTTCTTGCCTCTCTTTTGGCGGATAGTTTTTCCGCAAGTACTGCGCTGGTCGAATCCGGTTCTGCTCTGGTTGTCTTGGTGGGAGTACGTGCCGGAGTTCTCACACTTCTTGGTGGCGTCGTCGGGTCGAAGAAATTGACATCCCCGACTTGAAAGCCAGGGGCTGAACCAAGGGCCGCCTGCAGGGCAGGGCCCAAGCCAATAATCGGGCTCGATTGGTAGGGGTCTGTACCAGCAGGGCCCGGAGAAGTCTGGTTGTAGGCCGTGGTAGGGGTCCCAGTCGCAGTGGGCGGAGGTGGGGGTGCAGAGACCGGACCCGTCATCCTTTGTAACTGCTGGGCAGCCTGAAAAGCTTCCTGGTAAAAGCCAGCTGGCTCCACCGACATGGCCTCGTTCATCAGAGATTCCCATTCTCTGGCTTCTGCCTCGATAGTCCCTTCTTCCGCTCTCAGAGCCTCTGAGCCACGTAGGATAACATCTTTCACCTTGGCTGCTGCATTCGTGCCGATATCCTCTGCTTGTGCAAGTTCCACATCTATCTTCTCGAGGTCGTGCTGAAACTGCCTTTTCTGCTTCACGAAGTTGGCACGTTGATCTTGCACCCATCTCTCCCACTGTTTCTGTTTCCGGGCCTTGTCGTCCATCAGCTTCCGGATGCGTCCATCGGCCTTCCGGGCCGTGGTAAGGGCCTTCTGGATAGCATTCATGGTTGCAAGCTGCCCCGTAGGCTCCGCCTGTGGTGTTCTCCACGGCCTCTGGTCGTGTACCGGCCCTGACTGTCTGACATCGTCGATCTTGACCTGGTCGTAGTTCTGGGGGACCTCCTGCTTGGGCGCCCGCGGTGAGACCGACCAGGAGCCAGCCCAATACTTGTATTGGTGCTGCGCATCTTCTTTTCCTCTTCTGGGTTGCCAAGAGTCTGTCTTGGACCTTTGCCATTGCTTGCCCATTCCCGAGCAGCTGCCGCCTGAGTGGTGCCAGTATAGAAGGGCCGAATCACGGCCCCTGGCAGGCAATCCTTGCAGCTTGGCTTTGCGTACCCTCAGTCGAGCCTTAGACCTCTTCTGTCTAAGGCGTCGGTGCCAACCAGGGGATGGCGGCGCGAAAGAGGGAAAAATCGTGCTAGTGCACTGGGGCGGCAGTGGATCCGGCTGCTCTTAGCCGGCAATCTGAGCCCTAGATGCCGCTATAGATACCTTGCTTAGAACCCTACTTACTAAGTGCATTGATTCTTTGAGTAAGTAAGGACAGCAGAGCTCGGAGCTTGTCACTCAGCAGGGCCCCTTCGCATATCAGACGGGGATTATACAGGTACCAGGTACTATGTCGGATATGATTATAGGACATCCTTAGTTTAGGGGAGTATGTCCGTTATACCTGTGACCCCCAGGATCCTCGCATCCGACCCCGAACTCCCCTTTGGCCTGAAGCCTGAGCCTAAGCCCTAGAGTTCTTAATGCCAACCCTAGGTGAACGGAAAAGGGGCCCTCCAAAAACAAACACCGAAACCCTTCACCTTGAGACCCTGAGACTATAGGTACACCTTCGACCTTGAGAAGAAGCTCCAGCTCAACAAGCACAGTGGGACCAGTCGGAGGATCCGCCCTCCCATGCGCCGCTGAGAGGGGCGGAAAAATATCCTTGCCAAGGACCTTCACAGATCATACTACGCGCACTGCACATCTCATGCCTGGCTGCTGCAATTCCATGGAGGATGGAGGTTTTCCAGAGGAGATACATTTTGGCCCGGCTTGGGGTTCCTACCCAGCCTAGTTAGGCGCTTCCTCCAGGGCCCGTTGAAGCAGGCTGTGCCTAGATGCCATGCTATGCAGGGTGAACTCCTTCGTGCGGAAGGTCCCAGCAGGGGTTTTGCGCGCTGAAAATGCACCACGTGCTCAGCTGCTCTAAATGCCTCATGACTCATGACCTCGAAACACGGCCTAAGCGCCAACAGCAACATAAATGTTCCCGACTTAGAGGCGAAATTCAGAGCAGTGGAATGGGATGGGAAGGATGACCGGTGGAAAGTCATGTGTTTACTCTCTTCGCCTTTCCCGCCAC